CCCCCCGTCCATCCACTCATTCTTTTTGCCTGTCTCCGCAGAGTGGAGCCCGCATCAATATCTCTGAAGGGAACTGTCCCGAGCGTATCGTCACACTGTCTGGACCCACCAGTGCCATTTTCAAGGCGTTCTCGATGATCACGCACAAACTGGAGGAGGTAAGGAAGGGATTCCCGCGCCTTGGACCCAGGACCTGGACCGGGGTGCGCTGGGGTCAACATCCGGGGGTCACTGGGCGTACCTTCCTCGGGGGGGTGGGGGCTGGGGGTCACCGTCACCTCGCTGCGGTGGGGTGGGATGGGAAGGGGTGTGGGGGTTGTGTTGCAGGGCAATCTTCTGGCGTGTGTTTCTGAACAGTGTTTGCGCTGGGTCCTGCTTAACAGCATGCTTTCCCATCTTCGCAGGACATCAATAGCGCCATGGTGAACAGCACAGCCTCCAGCCAGCCACCTGTCACTCTGCGGATCGTGATCCCTGCTAGTCAGTGTGGCTCCCTCATCGGGAAAGGAGGCTGCAAGATCAAGGAGATTCGAGAGGTAAACCCCAAACCCTGTTGCAGCGTCGTTCGTGATGCTCTGACAATCAGAGCAGTCACCTTTTTAGCCCGATATTCTCCCCACTTGTTTGCGGGAGGCGCAGCATGGCTGACACATCCTTGTGTAGTGTCTATAACCAAACCAAACCAAACCAATCCAATCCAATCCAAGTCCCGGCTCGCAGCAACCGCTGAGGGGAAGGTAAGTTGTTTCTTCCTGGGGCTTTTACTGCAGAGAACATAGGGACCTCCCGAGCTGCTGGGCTGTTGGAAGCCTCGAGAGGCTGTTGTCAGGAAGGAGATCCCGAGTCGCCGGTAACTGGTCCGCGGATCTATCGGTTACTCGTAACTACCTGCCCCAGTGCGTCTGCACACTGCACTTTAACCCGCTCCTCGAGCAAGCAGCTGTGTAAACCGTGCTTACAGTGAGGGTCCGGTTCCTGCTTTCAGTCGCACATGTCTGTTCTCCAGCCAGCTCATGGGATCGGTGTGGTTTGGGTGTTTATCGGCCAGTGTAGGCGTAGTGGTGGGCTTGAAGGGTTAGAAACTGAAATATAGAAAATCTAACTCCGTCACCCCCTCCCTATCTCTGTGTCACCCCCTCCCT